GGGGATTAAGGTATATAGGTATATATACTCGAAATCTATCGGGTTTCGTGACGGAATGGAGAAAGAGAGAGAGAGAGAGAGAGAGAGAGTGGAATTACGAATAAATGAAAAATGAATTTAACCTAGAAACTATTCGGTCTATCCAGTGCACGGTGTACATATTATAAGATATACGGTCTATAGTTGAAAACTGCTTTTGAAAAAATAGGTCGTAATGCGGTTAACCGATACGGTTACCCTTGAGAGTATCGCTCCTCGATCTCGATATGAAATTTTCACCAATCTTTTCGCTATTTTGCGTCGATCTCCCCGTCGAGTTTCATTTTCGTTTCGAGATCCATTATCGCCAATGAGGTTTCCGGGCCAAGGGACGTCTGAATTTTGGAGGCACGATTCGAGAGAAAGGGGGCTTCTTATCGAATGATCAATATCGATTATCGATCAATAGGAGAAAAATAACCGGTTGGACTTGTTAAATCGTATTTTTACACAGATCGTTATATATGTATATATATTTTATGTAGATCTTCGATCGTTACGATACTATACCTTCGTGTTTAGCAAAGTAACCGTTGGAGTAGAGTTTATCGACGAGTTTGTTAACAAACGGTAGAATTAAGCGGATTTTCATGGAAACAGGATCGAGTTGTCCTTTTTGCCGTCGTTTCTTTTTTTTTTTCTCGTCGTGTCGCCATTGTCACGGGATCGATATTTTTAATTAACCCTTTGTCATCAGATTATTTCCAGATTTATTTTATACGGACGATGTTTTCGTAGAATTTATAATATATCCATTTTATTTACAACGATTCTAGGTTATATATTTCTTCGTTATATATATATATATATTTCTTGAATTCATAAGATAGATTGCATCGACGAAACAGAAAATCTAACTGTTATAAATACAAAATAAACGAACGATTCGATGAATAATTAGAAAAACATGCGCGTTAAATTAAAAAACACTGCACTTTTCCAATATATCCAATCCCTGTATACTCTACGATACAAGAAATATTTGTCTCGCGGACGTTCTTGTGGGGAGGGTTAATACACGTCTTTCCAACGTATCGAAATCGTACGATTCACAGTGGAGCGGAATCGAATCCCGACTTTTAAATATTCACAAAACCCGGGCATCTATTCATTTAATAACAATGGCCGGGAATCAAGCTGTCTGCATCAGGGATCATCGGTCTCGGCCACTCGAAATCGGTTTATTTTACGAAAAAGACGACCTCACCTGCCACGAGCAAAGCGTTACATCGAACAGCAATCGATATTTAACCTCCCACCGGCGGCGATCGCGAAAACGAACAACAAGCAAGTAAACGCAACACCGTCATAAAACAAACCACAACATTGTAGCGCGATTGACGTTGCATTTTGATCGTCTCTATCGTTCATATTTCAATCCGTATCGGTATTTTCCACCTACATCGTCGATCCACGTACGTATACACGTCTCGTTGCCCGTATTTTTCATAAAAAAAAAGAAAAAAAGAAAAGAAAAAGGAACAATAAACCGACCGAATGTCAAACATTACCACACACGAGTAATTTTTAAATTAATCCTTAAAAGGAGAATAATAAGATATATCTTATACGATTTTTAAATTAACCCTTAAAGGAAGAATCACAAGATGTCTGTCGCCTAGAATATTACGGATGGACAAAGAAAGAAACAGAAGATATCTGACGATTTTTATCTCCTCTCATAAAGACACGATAAGAAAAAAAACCAGAGCAACAACAAACCTCTCTCTCTCCTCTTCCTCGAGAGGAAAAAAAAAAAAAAAGAAAATTTCGATTTTCCTCGAGATCGAATCAAGCACACCTGGATGCAGGTGGTGGCCTGGGACAACAAGGCAACAGCTGTTCGTCGCATTTCCTCGTTTTCCTCGATGCTAGGGATCTGCTAGGGAACCCTAGCTGCGTGACGAACGAATCTCTCTCTCTCTCTCTCTCTCTCTATATCTGCGTTAACGTCCTTCGGTATCCGGCTTCGAAGTTTTTTCTCGAATAAAAATCGGGGGGAGAGGAGGAGGAGGGGGGGGGGCGAAAACACGCGCGCGTATATATACACGTAATATACGCGTCAAAACATGGGTGGTGCACGCGCAACCCCCTCCTAGTTAGGTCGATGTCGTTTTCTTTTTTATTTTTCTCTCTCCTCCCTCCCTCCCTCTCTCTCGATCCCAGGGTGTCTCAAAGAGTGCGCGCATTCGGTCGCGCGTCGGCTTTTGTTTTCCGACGCGATGACGCGGCGCGCGAGATCACCCTCGCCTCCCTCTCTCTCTCTCTCTCTCGCTGCTCCTCTTCCTCCTCCTCCTCCTCCTCCTCCTCCTCCTCGTCGCCGGTTTCCCGCGCGACGCGCGCGGCGACCAAGCCGCCTCCTCCTCCTCCTCCTCCTCCTCCTCCTCTTTCTCCTCCTCCTCCTCCTCTCCCCCGGTGTGCAGGCCGAAAAGAAACGAGGAAAAAGGCCGCGCGCGTCGGCGTCGCTCGGTGGCGGCATTCTAAATTTAGGAGGAAGTATTGATTTTACAATTTGGACCCCTCCCAAAGTAAAAAATAAACCAAGCCAAACGTACTCTACTTTGATAGAGTGCCTCTCCTCTGCGCGGCTCGTTTCGACGCACAGCCCGAGACGGAGATACAAAAAGGGAAACATGGAAGGGGGGAGGGGGAAAGGGGAGGATGGGGTGAGACCGAGGGGTGGGGTGGCGGGCGAGCCGCCGAGGCTCGAGGGTAGGGGTGAAACAGCCCCGCGAATCGGGTGGGAGGGAAGAAAAGAAGAAGATAGCGATTGCCAGGGAAAGTGAGAGAGGGGGGCAGGGGGGGGGTGAGGGGGCGAAGCCAAAGGGGCGAAACCGAAGCTGGAGGGAAAGAAAATCAGAGAGAGAGAGAGAGAGAGAGGAAGATGGAAAGGGGAGAAAAGGAAAAAAATGAAAAGGAAAAAAAGAAAGGTGGAGAAGAGAGGTGGATAGAATGGGGGATAGAGGGGGAGGGGGTGGAACCGGGTGTCGGCTGGGAAGGCCGAAGGAGAATGTTAGGGGGCGGGGAGGGTGGAGAGTGGCGAAATACCGTAGTTCCAGCCTGGTAAGAAACAAAGAACAGAAAATTGATCGTTTGTTAAGTTTTATGTTCCCCGGGGCAGGAGGCGAGGGTGGTCTTGCTTGCCCCTCTCTTTTCTTCTTCTCCTCTCTCTCTCTCTCTCTCTCTCTCTCTCTCTCTCTCTCTCTCTCTCTCTCTCTGTATTTGTGTATGTGTGTGCGTGCGCGCCTCTCGCGTCGCGCAATAAGACGAATCGAGGAAATTCTGCGCCGTGAAGGAGGTGCGGAGGTGCAGGCAACAAACGCGGGGAAAAAAACGTGAGGAAGACGATGGAGGAGAGGGAGGGGGGGGAGGGCGGAGGGCGGCGGAGAATGGATGGCCGGGCCGATAGAGAGACACGTGTACAGGGGAGAAAACGGAAGGGGTTGAAATGGACGAACCAGGCATCGTGGAAGTCAATGGAAGCTGGACGAGATTGCCTTCGTTTCCCCCGTTGTCGTCTGCTCGCCCGCTTTTTTCCACAGAGGATGAAGTTTAATTACGGGGAAACGCGCGTTTATCGAGCTTACCCGCTTGTTTCTCTTTTTTTCCCCCTCCCCCTCCCCCTTCCCTCCTCTTCTCTCGCTTCTCCCTTTCTTCTCTCTTCTTTTTTTTTCCATTCTTTTATTTATCATTTTTCTTTCTTTTTTTTTTTTTCCTTTCTTTCTTTCTTTCTTTTTTTTTGCAAAATCTTTCGAAAAATTGCTCTGTTTACCGGCCTCGAACGAACGATCCGTTTGGCCGCGTCTAACTGAAGTGCGTGCTGCTTTCTCTGACGCGATTTCGGGCAGACTTTTTTTTTTTTTTTTTTCTTTTTCTTTTTTTCCTTGTTTTTTCTTTTCTCTCCTCTCCCTGGTTTAGAGGGCACAAAGAGCGAGAAAAAGGGAAAATAGTGGTAAACTGCATATATTGTAGCAATTTAAGCGAGCAAAGCGGCGTGTGGAAATGGAAAGTGAAAATGGAGTACTATGCGTTTTCGACGAGATGATACAATACGTCTGTAAACGCGTTAAACGACGCAGAGAGAAAGAGAGAGAGAGAGAGAGAAAGAGAGAGAGATCGCCTCTGAAACATTTCGAAGAGTAAAATAGTTGAAACGAAGCGTGCACCTCGGGAAAAGGGACTTTAAAGCGAATAGGAGACTATCGGGTCCAACGAAGGGCAATGTTGTCGGTGATAAAAGGCCATCGATGGACCGGAACGATTATCCTTTCCATCTCTGTCGCCGGATATTTCAACGCGCGAATCATCCCCGCGATCGCGTTGTTTTCAGAATGAAAACGCCAAATTTACGCACCATCTCATGTTTTTATGTTCGAAAAATTCTTGTTTTCAAACTTATTCCCTATCACGACAATTATAAATATATTATAAATATAAATATTTATATTTATATTTAATCATTATATCATTAATGTAATATAATATTCATATCCGAGATATAATTATGTAATAATACCGGAGATATAAATATTTACGTTTATTATATCTGTGTTATATCTGTGAATATCAATGAATCAATCGAGCCCTCTATAACGTCATAACGATTTTCAACTCGTAATAATCGTATCTAATATTTCCTTTATAACTAATTTGCTTGTAAATTCTAGCTCTCGCATCTCGTTCCAATATATAAATATTCATCGAATAAAATTTATTTCAAGATCTAAATAACGAACTAAAAAAAAAAGAAGGAAAGAAAAAAGAAAAAAATTATGATCATAGAGAATAAAATAAATAAATATAATTCGTTCGAGAAGAATTCGATGTAAATCGAAAATATTTCGAAATGACGATCGTTGAATCTAATCGAGAGAAAGAGAGTACCGGCGGAAATTCGATCGTGCAGCCACCGTCCACGTGGGTGAATTCGGTGGAAGGGTTGAAAACGTGTCTCTGTTTACCTTGTGCGCTCTGAGAGTTTTGCCCTCGCAGGCCAGAGTGACGTCGCAATAAGCTTGCCGCTCGAGCAGCTGTGAGAACATGGTCTGTAGATTGCTGTGATGGTATTTCCATCGTAGGCAATACTGTTGAGGGAACATGTTGGAGGATGACGTCGCGGGAGGTGTCGTTACTGAACTGCCTCGTTGCTGAAGCATGCGCGGACCTGGCAATTCAACCAACCGTTCGCCGCTTAGATCCGTTCGTTCCTCTTCGCCTCACCTTAATCCCTCTCGGCCTTCCTTCTTCCCCCACTCTGCAACATTTAGTGTCTCCGGTCAGCAAGATCAACTTCTCCCGATTTCGTTTCGATTTGAAATATTAATTCTGATAATTAACCCACGAAACACGTTCTTTGATAAGAATGTTCGATCAAAACGATCAAGATCGAAGGAAACTTTTAAAATTTACAAATTTCCTTTTCACATTCTAAAATGATTAATTTAATTCAGATACGTTAGGAAGATCACGATTTTTAACGATTTTGAGAAATATATGAAAGGCAAAAAAAAAAAATATTACTAATTTAAATCTTCTTTCTTTTAAACTGGGAAGAAGAAACGAATTCTTGGAAATCTCAAATCGCGCTGCGGGTCACGAGATACGTTTCCAGGAATTCGAAGAGCCGACGCTCGAAACGACGCTCCTTTTTCCAAACGAGAAATGATAAAAAAAAAAAAAAACGAGGGGGTTAACGCGGGAGTAATTAGCGCGAGGATACGCGCGCGGGAACAAAAAAAATCTTGATAGAAAAATTATTTTAATTGCTCGGCGTGCTAATCGTGAAGAGAGGGAGGGGAGGGGGGAGAGGGAGAAGCCGTTTCTCTCACGGGAGATACTACAAAAGAGGTTTACGATTCAATTCATTTGCGGTGATACTTTTTCGAGTTCTCACGATACCTGCCTCTAATCAGTCATTAATTACGTGATTAGGTTTGAAAATTACGTTTGAAAATTGCGAATGATTCGCGGGGCCGCCGGTAGTTTACGTTTCCTGTTACACGGGATAGATTGCACGAGAACGTTTCCGGAACGTCTAAAAGAGGCGGCCCGTTCGCAATTTCCAGTTCTTCAACCCAACTTGGCTACCTGCATCCGCGTGATGTAAATAAATACGCGGGGAGAATTAAAATTATCCCGTGGAAATCTTTCGATTTGTCACAACTTCGAATTATACGAACGAAATTTTATCAACTCAACTCTGTGATTCATTGAACTAAACGAATCATTATCAACCGTTTTTCTTTTTCTACTTATTATTATTATTATCAGATCGATGTAAAATTTTGCAAAGAAATGTATCTAAACATAAATATATTTTGTATCTGTTGTTTGATGATATTTGGACAAGAAGTAGATGGAAGATTAAGGGATAAAAATTTCTAGAATCAAGTCTATCGAGAATTATATAGAATTATGTAGAATTTTTTTTAGAATATTTTTCCTCGAGTAAACAAGAATGTTAAGAGTATTTGTATGTGGGGAAAAAAAAAAAAAAAAAAAATATTCTCGAGAATTCGCCGGTAAATTCGCACCTTTATATCCCATAATTGAAGAAAGGAACAAAACTCGTTTTAGCAATGGAGGAAGGAAGGTGCTTACAGGTATTGGTCGATGCAGAGTCAGTCTTTGGGCTCGTTCTCGAAGTGAAACCAACCCGGCTCCCTGTCAACCGGACGAATGGTTCCAAGACGATGGCCTTCGAAGCATTTACGCGCGAGTTTGAACGTCCACCTCGATCACGATTGTCCCTGACGATGCTGAGTCTCACGTGTTTCCCCTGTAACACACGATAGAGGTATTGGTCAGACAAACATCGAATTCGATTCAATCCACTTTCACCTTGTTCGAATTCACCTTGTTCAAAGATTTAATGTGTGAAAATTAAATGTTGATTATGGATTTAGGGAAATATTTCAGAAAGAGAAAAATAATTGGAAAGGGAAGTTTGTGTAAATGTGGTTCTTTTTTTTTTTTTTTTTGTAGAATTAAATATCTATGATCCTATGAAAATGAAAATCTTAGGATTCGAATTTTAATTAATTAATGTATTAAAATAAAACAATGTGTGGAAATACTTTACGTTTAAGTTGAAATGAAACGTAACTAGTTTGATCTTCTGTCATTTTCTTTTCGATCATCTCCAAAAGAGAGATGCTCAACATGATTCACGATATTTTACGAAAACTGTCAAATTTCAAGATTTTCAATGGATATCCCCATGAATAAAAGTCTAATGAATTATTGCCGTTCTCACTCGTGTTTCGTGTTTGTATCCTATCGGATTATTATCGATCCAATGAACAGAAGGATAATATTTTAGAAATATTATACCATGGACAACTAGTTACATCTGTAAACAAGGTCAAATAGGACACACGCTTGTTTCGAGTCGCGATCCTGAAACAACTTGCGAGCCTTTTTCTCAATGCGTTAAAAATTAAAGTTAAAAATACAATTAGAATAACCATAACGCCAACAAACATTTTATCCAATTCGAAATATTCATCGTTTCCCATTTATCGAAACGAAAAATTGAATTCTCTTAATCTTATATAAAGTTCTAAGAGAGATGATCCAGAATCCTTTACAAATTGAATATAATACTTCCTCTTGTATAAAAATTTTTCCCTATATTCAAATATTTTAAAAAATTGATCTCAATATTGATCTTCGTATAGTTTCATATAAAAGGAAACATAACCTAACTTAACCTCGTTTTAATTTTTACTCTTTACAAAGTTGGTGATTATTATTACAATTTCCTCTTGTATAAAAATTTTTCCTTACATTCAAACAAATATTTTAAAAAATTGATCTCGATATTGATCTTTGTATAGTTTCAAATAAAAGAAAACATAACCTAACTTAATCTTTTTTTAATCTTTACTCGATCTTTACAAAGTTGATCAAAATTGTAATTACAATTTCCTCTTCTATAAAAATTTTTCCTTATATTCAAACAAATATTCAAATAAATATTTTAAAAAATTGATCTCGATATTGATCTTCGTGTAGTTTCAAATATAAGAGAATTTAACCTCGTTTTAATCTTTACTCGATCTTTACAAAGGTGGTGAAAATTGTAATTACAATTTCCTTTTGTATAAAAATTTTTCCTTACATTCAAACAAATATTTTAAAAAATTGATCTCGATATTGATCTTCGTGTAGTTTCAAATATAAGAGAACATAACCTAACTTAACCTTTTTTTAATCTTTACTCGATCTTTACAAAGTTGATCAAAATTGTAATTACAATTTCCTCTTCTATAAAAATTTTTCCTTGTATTCAAACAAATATTCAAATAAATATTTTAAAAAATTGATCTCGATATTGATCTTGGTGTAGTTTCAAATATAAGAGAACATAACCTAACTTAACCTCGTTTTAATCTTTATTCGATCTTTACAAAATTGGTGAAAATTGTAATTACGATTAGAACAGAATCCTGTTGAATCATTTAAGGGTTTATACATTTGTCCTTATTGTATTTCTACCTAGTTTTGATTAGTTCGATGCGATTAGATTCGATTCGAGCGAGTCGATAACTAGTTTTCCGATGATAGAAACGTGGTTGTAGCTGTTAATTTACAACCGGTCTCGAACGAGTGACCACTTTTATGAAGCAATTTGCCACGATGCATCCCCCATCAATTTGCAACTCGGGCGATCTCGTAGGAAAGAAAATAAGAAATTCCGGTGTCGGGGAATGTAAAACGAACGAACGATATACTTCCTACCGTGTCAACGATTGTTTGTCTCGAAACAACGATGAAAGCTGATAATTACTAGATATTAGATCGGCGCTGTCGTGTAAGCTGGTTATCGATCGTCTTCGCTCTTTGCTATTTGGATAGCCTAAAGGGAAGCACGTAGTATTGAAAACAATATCGGTTAAATGTATACGGTCGATAATATTGCCAATATAATTTTACGATATTTTTAATTCGCTTCTGGGATCGAAAATAATAATCGACAAGTGTCGATGGTATTTATCAATTCTACTCTCTCTTGGTTTATTTAGAAAGAGTGGATTTTAGAATATATTTGAGAGTAAAAACATTTTCTATTGTTGCTAAATAATTATTTAGTATTCGAGAGATAGTTTTATTTCTCGAGTTAAAATAATTGATACAATTGGATACAATTGGAATATTTTCGAAAAATTGACAATGGTCCCGCCGAGATACGAGTACGATGGAGACGAGGTGAAATTATTCTTTCTTCGGTATCTAATCTAACGAGATTAGATTTCTCGGTTGATTCGTTAAAATTCTTGGAAAAGATTGGAAACGAAACAAGATCGATTCGAAGAAACCGAGGATCTTGCCGGGGAAAGAAAGTTTGCCGGGCAAACTCGGACAGAAAAAGAAGTATTCATTGCATTATCTGGAAACGATTAATGTGAGCCGCTTGTATCTATTAGCATAATTACCGAGAGACTGACTTTGTAAAATCGTGAAAGTGGAATATCGACATTTATCGGGATTACTGACCGCTGATGAAGTTTCCATTACACGCGAAAATCGGAAAGCTGATTTGCCGAATCTACCTATCGGGACCGGTGACATTTGATTACACGTGTAATTATCTTGTAATGAATGGTGACAACGTGGCAGATGTCATTATGACGGTTAACTTTATTTCGCCGGCTAAACCCGTTTAACTTCTCATTACATCGATATGCTTAAATAAAAGAAGATAATTCTTGGATGGACAATTTATTTCGAATCTTTTAATTTCTTTTTCTTTGTGTAGATGAACCGATTCAATCGGAAACTGGTCGAGATATTATTAGATATTGATAGCTAGATCTATCCATAAATAAATGATCAAGTGTAATTCTGGCTCATGTTAAATAACGTATATCTAATAATAAGATCTATGCGTAAAGACGTTTCAAAAATATTATTTTCTGATAAAAACATTTAATCTCGTGTAAAATTTAAGAAACGAATAAAAGAAAATTAATTTTAAAAGAAAAAAGAAAAAATTTTGAAAATTTGCACATATATACATATATACGGTCGATAGTCGTTCACGCACATGTGGTAAACGAGCACTGGTATTAATCGAAACGATGAATAATCGTTATTCGATTGATCGAGATCCCACGGTGGTAGAAGCATGCACCATTTTTCAATATCTAGTTGGTAAACTGGTCAACGTCTTTCATCGAGGATGGAAGGTAATAACAACTAAGCCCAGGACTTTAGGCCGCACGCTTGAGTGCGGTTTTAAAATTCCCCCCAGGGCAAGTCTCTATGGAACTCGTTGGTGGATCGTGGGAATCAATAAATTCCCCGTATCGAAAAACGCTGAGAGTACAATACGCGGAAAAATCGGCAAGCCGCGAATTTGCGCGAAATTACGATCCCTTCTCTCTTTCATCGTCCTCCCAATTTCAAATATTCCCGCGTGCCACGTTACCACCCATTTTCTCGATCCCCTTCCCTTTTCATCTTTTATTCCATTACTAATTTTCCTCTTTCCTCTTTCCTCGACTCATTTTCCCATTTTTTCCCCTTCCCATTCCCCACATTTTTTCCCTCCCCCTTTCTAATTTCCATCTCTCGAATTCCTTCATCACCGCTATCTTACCTAACCTATTCGCCTTTTTTCCCCCATCTCGCCGAAAAAATGTCGATGGCGCGTCAAAAGACCGTTCTCCACGAGGTAACCGGATGTCAAACATTTTTGCCGAGGCTGGAGGGCAGCTCGGTATTCAGGTCTCGGTACGTATCCGAGAATAACACATACAGAGACGTGTGGCGCACGCGCGCAACAATATTCGCTCGGTAGCCTAGATTCCCTGAGATACTTTCTATTGTGTTTACGGATCGGATTAGAGTACCTTTCGCCGTTGAGAAAATCCTCAACTACTCGAGACGCGGAAGACTACCAACGCTCAACCGGTGACCTTTTGGGAATCCGGATCAAATTGGGAAATCGGGTTAACCCTCCTTTGATGGGACACCCGCTAGAAGATCTAACTCGAGATACCGAGAACGATGAGCACGAGAAACGTGACTGTCGTTCGTTAATTATCCTCTACGTGCATACGTTTAGGTAATATCGAATCGAAAGTTTCTTGCAAGTGTCGAAACTGGAACAGTTATTTCAAATGAATTAGATTAGGTTAGAACGTACATATGAATTACATAGAAGCATATAAACGAATTAATACCATTGAGATTGATAATTTGGTTTCTATGAAATTGAATATTAATCGTACACTTTGACAATTTGATTGAAAAATTAAGAATTTTTCGAAAAGATAGAGTTGAACACTTCTACTTTTAAATTGTTTACCGATGGGACGCTAGACGAATGACTGAGAATGCTGAAACTAGAGCCGATCGTATTTCGGTTATTTTCGACTAAGATCGGAAAATTAGCCGAAGATGCCCGAAAGACGCTCGGCTCTTCAGTCGAGATTCTTGGTTGTCTCATCGATCCAAGTCGATCAATTTTCTGTAATTTTCAACCATAATTGACCAATATTCGCCGAAAGTAACTAAAAGACGATTATCTCACGGCTCGGGATTCTTAACTGATTCGAAAGTTTCATCGATGTTATGGTAAATTTGCAAATTATTTGAATTAGGTTAGGTTTTTGATTAAGTTCAGTTCATGTTTTCTTAATGATTGTTTGTCTGATGTGCATTCGGATTATTTGAAGTAGGTAAGTAGTTGAAACGTGTTCTTAGGATCAACAGTTGAATACGTGACAGGAACATAGTTGAAAATTGTTCATTCGCGGTGATCGATGACTC